CCTCAGCAGTGGACACGGGACCTCAGCAGTGGGCACGGGGACTTCAGCAGTGGGCACGGGGACTTTGGCAGTGGGCATGGGAGCCACAGCAGCGGACTGAAACGTGTCCGCGCCGGTGAGGATGGCACAGCACAGAACAGGGTTCACATGGGTTCATAAGGTTGCTGTGAGTTGTCATCGACTTGCTGGCACGTAACAACTACGACAGCAGAATTTCATCTTTCGGTTTATTTTCTTTCTAGATACAGATTCCTGGGCTGGAGACCTTGCAGATGTTTGTTCCAGACACGCTTGCTGAGGAGAAGGGCTTAATCCTGCAACTGCTCAACGCAGCTGCAGGAAAGGACTGTTCCAAAGACTCCGAGGACATACTGATCGACTCCTTTGTGCTGCTGACCAAGCACAGTGACCGGGACCAGGGCTCCTCCGATGGCTGGGGCACGTGGGAGGGACAGTCCGTCAAAGTGGTGCCTCAAGTGGAGACGGTGGACACACTGAGGAACATGCAGGTACCGCTCCCACCCACGTCCCACTCCCCAAACCAGACTCTGACCATCGAGCCTGCTCGGGCAGTGCCGGGAGGAAGGCCAGCCTTTGGAAGGGTCATCATGCTTGTAAAGGTCGAGGGTCAGTGAAAGAGAGGAAGACACTCAACCAAGCGGGTCGACACCGTTCGTGCAGCAGTGGGCTTGAGTGTGTCAGAGATGAGGATGACCCCAGCTAGGACACGGTTCAGATTCGGGTGCGCAGTGTCCCTGTGAGCCACGCTCAGCAGCACCTAAGGGGCCCAGTGGAGAATTACCCCATAGCGGCCCAAGACTGTAATCTTTGTGGCAGCAAACTGCCTCCTCTTTGTCCTCTGCAGGGACTGCTGGGTTTAAAACCTTCTGAGTAGCAGCCAACACTTGACCTGCTGTGTCACTCGGACTTTATAAGGACATTGTTGTTGTTGTTGTGTGCCATAGAGTCGCTTGCGACTCATAGCAACCCTATGTAGAACAGCCCTAAACCCTGCTCTATCCTGTGCCAATCGCATTGCCTCTGACACTCCCATCCCGATTACCCCAGTCGCTGAATCAATCCACCATAGAGGGCCTTCCTCTCCTGTGCCTGCCCTCCACTCTCCCAAGCATGATGTCCTTCTCCAAGAACCTATCCCTTCTTACAACATGTCCAAAGTCTGTCAGACGAAGCCACAGAATCCTTGCCTCCAAGGAGCAGCCTGGTTTAACCCTCTCCAGGATGAATCTGTTTGCTTTCCTGGCAGTCCATGGTACATTCAGTACTTTTCTCCAGCACCACAGCTCGAAGGCGTCAATTCTCCTTCTATCCTCCCTGGTCATTGTCCAACTCTCTGATGCATAACAAGTGATTGCAAAAACCATGGCCTGTATCAGACGCACCTTAGTCTCCAGAGAGACACCATTGCTCTTCAGTACTTTGGAGAGGTCCCTAACAGCCGACTTTCCTTACTTAAAATAGACTTAGGGGGAAACTGAATTCTTAATAACTAAGGAAGAAGAATAAGAATTGAGATCTTTGAATTGATGGTGAGGACCACTGAGTATCTCAGGGACTGCCGAAAGAACAGACAAACCTATCCTGGAAAGATTATGCTTAATAAAAATAGAGTGTCAGCAAAGGAGCCCTTCAGTGAGGTGGGTTAACAGTGACTGCAGCAGTGAGCATCAGAGCAGTGGAGACAGGGCGGCCAGGGTCAGACAGGGCAGCCCAGGGTCAGGCAGAGCAGCCCAGGGTCAGGCAAAGCTGCAGGCTGTCGTATGTGGGTCACCATGAACCAGAGCTGACTTGGGGCCACCTAGCCACTGCAGCATGAATGATTCCTTTAACTGCCTTCTTATTCTTATTAATGTGCCATCGAGTCATAGCAGACCCTCCAGTGGGTTTTCGGAAGCAGTAAATTGCATGAGAGGAGATTGCCCATCCTCCCATGCAGCAGCTGGTGAATTTGAACCATGTGCCCTTGGGATTGTAGCACAGCTTCTTAACCACTAAGCCACCAGAACTCGCGTAGAAGCCTTAGAAACTGCCTTAGAAGCCCCAACTATACAGTTTCCAAAAATTAGCTGTTTAATAGATACTTGGCCAAAATATTCTATAAAATTTTGCAGTGTTTTAACAGTATTTGAAATAAGCTTGCAGTTTTTGGATGCCCCTTCCTGGATCAGCCCCGGTTAGGTCTGTACACTTGGTATCTGAAGGAAATCACCTCTCTGTCATTGCTCCAGTCCTCTGCAGGTTTCATTTCTCAGTTTCATTGCTGTAATAGATACTATTACCTACCTGGCTGGGTCCCCTGAACATTTGTGCAAGGCACGGACCTTGTGGGGTCTGCTCAGCTCCGGGACCTCAGATCCCACCTGATGGGGAGGGCCTGCACACCCTCATCTCCTCCGTCACAGGGCTGCGTGCTTCCGCCTCAGTGGAGCATGCCGTCCAGTCCCATGTTAAACTGGAAAGGTGACGGTCCCTGCATGGTCAGCTCCTCGCTTCTGGCTAATCGTGACACTGCCCAGCCCTTAGCATTCTGGGTCACTGGTCCTTCTCTCCCTCTCCTGGGTCAGACGAGTGGGTTAGTGAAGTCTGGTGGCCATTCCAGGCTTGTTCTGAGGAGGGCCAGGTGATCATGATTTCAGACTCTGGGGCCATAGACTGCCGGGCCCATTCAGCTCTGCCTCAGAAATGGTGACGAATGGTGAACTAGTGTGGCGAGGCCCCCGTAACATTAACAGCCTGTGAGTTAGTCTGCCCAGTGGCCATAGTTTGCCGTCTCAGATCACAGTCACTGACACTTGCCTGACTTTCATGAATAGTTGAGCTTTGAGTGAAGGTTTTCAGAGCGAGTAGATTTCCCTTTCAACCGTTTATAGACATTTTGATTGATAAGGTGAGTTGCATCCCCATGTTGTTAAGACCATTCTGCCTCCTCTGTGCTGCCCAGTTCCAGCCTTCCTTCCCTGACGTTCTCCCCTCTGCAGCTGCGTCCCTGGGCACCTGCAGCTCCCGTGCTCTCGTGCAGTTAATCGTTCGCAGACGTGCGTTCCTGTCTGGTGTTACTGGTCAGCTGTGCTATTTCAGCTGCCCTCTGTGCGTCACGGACACTGACCAAGGGTCGCAGACGAAGGACAGGTGCCTGGGAACTGTGGTGTTGGGGCAGAGTCCTGACCATCCCACGGACTTCAGTGTGACCGGAGTGCTCTTTCACGGCAAGGACGGTCAGAGTTCATCTTAAATGCTTCCGTCGTGTTGTTAGGAGGTGGTGGCCAAGCCCCTGGAAGAAATGCATCGTGCTGGGAAAGGAGGAGGGTCAGAGAGGGAGACCTTACCAGCTCTCTGCCCCAAAAATAAAACTTGCAACGCAAGCATTCATTCTCACACCTGTGTTTATTACAGCATAACACTGGAACCCACTCACGTCCGTCAGCATCAGAATGGCTAAAGAAGCGGCCGTGTGCTTACGCAGTGGGTTACCGTGTGTCCCTCCCTCTCGCTGAGGGCCTGCCTCCCTCACGACCCTCTCCTTTACCAGGGATCCCTCCTCAGAACATGTCCAAAGAGTGTGGGACAAAGTCCACTAACGAGCGTTCTCACCACACTGTTGCCGAGACATTTGACTAAGTACTGTCACTGTCTTAGGCTCCCAAGTAGATTAAGCCATGTTTTTGTTTCCTTATTATTCCTAGTGTTTTGTACAGCTCAGTCTTGCAATGACAGATTTTAGCATCATCCCGTCTTAACTCCGTTGGGTTTTATGTCTACGTAAAGCTTTCTGTAACTGATACCTGTGTTTTAAACAAAGTTGTGTTGCATTACAAATGACAGATTGGGTGATTGTCACAGTGAAAGGATTGGGCATCTGTAGTCCCAGCTGCTCACACCCCAGGAATTTGCTCAGAGGGGCATTTTCTTCCGTGGGCCCTGAGTGGACAAGGCTGAAGACGCAGCCCCTGCTCTGACCACGAGGGCCGCTGCTGTTTGGTGCAGTGGCTCTGGGCACAGGAGCCTCTGTGAGCAGCTCTCTGCCGGGCATGCACTTACGCCAGGTGGTGGTGCTGGGTTCATGCCTTCCAGCCAGAGTCCTGGGGTTAGAACTGTGATGCTTAAATATTGTTCTTACCTGGAAGGGTTGACACACAGAAAGGGGGAGAGGGGAGGGAAAGAACACGAATAACTGGCTAGCTGACACATGTTACAGCGGGTGAGGGGACAGTGTCTGTGAAGGGGCGGTTGGCACCATCTCACTGCAGAGGGGAAGAAAGACACCAGGGGGGCTTACAGTGTGGAGATTGTTAGTGATGCCGTCAAGCGGTGTAGTGCTGGGGGAAATCTGCTCTGTAAACTCATTGAAACTACAGTTTTTAAAAATAAAAAGAAAGAAAGATGTGTATGACGAGTAATAGCCTGGACCAGCATGAGCGTTACAGAGGGAGTCCAGGGAGGCAGGAAAATCTGTATCTCTTTGTGAACCTTCGCTAAAATAAAATTAAAATAAAATAAAATAATAAAATAAATAACAGAAAATGTTGAATGAAGCCTTAGCTTCAACAGTGAATAAGAAAGAAAGGACGTGCGTGCAGTAGACTCACTCACTGTCATGTTAATGCCCGCGTCTCTGCTGGGGTGTCCCCACAGGCGTCGCTGCTGCACTGCAGAGCCCACACGTCAGTGGTCAGCGCCTGCAGCCTGGAGCTGCCCACAGCTGCCCTGTGGCACCACTCTGTTCAGCAGTTTCTCCTCAGCAGGCGGTTGCTGGCCTCCTTCCTGTGTGGTTGGTCTGGTGTGGGACTGGGGTACGAGTGATCACATAGTCACTGGTCTGTTCTCATGCCCGGTGTTTGGTTTGACTCCCAGGTGGACAATGTCTTACTGGTTGTCATGCAGTCGGCCCATCTCACCATCCAGCGGAAAACGTTCCAGCAGTCCATTGAGGGGCTCATGACCATCCGCCAGGAGCAGACGTCCAGCCAGCCGGTCATCGCCAAAGCTCTGCAGCAGCTCAAGGTACTTTACAGTCTCCCCTGCCCACTCGCTGTGGAGTGTCCCAGGAGACAGGCATGGGGTACAGTGTGGTGTCACCCTGGGGACGCCGCCTTGTCCTCCCCTCCCGCCTCCTCCCTCTGGCACATGCCCTTTCCTGGATCGAAGGCCAAGCCTGGAGCTGTCACGGGGAGGGGTGGTGGCCGGAGCCGTTTCCCACCTGGAGGGGGAATGTAGGTCTCCTCGTTCTTATCCCAGGCTGTTTTCTCCTGGAATGAGCAGCGGTGTTCCTACCGTTGCCTCCTGGCCACGGCGTCTTCTGTTAAAGAGGATCCGCTTACTCCTTCACTTAGCCGCCGTCACAGTTGCCATTGAGGCCTAGGGGCCTGAGCGTGGACCCCCTTCATTTAGCTGCCGTTCACCTGGGGGAGGTCCAGGGTCCTGAGCGTGCGCTCTTCCCCGTTCTTCCTGGCTGTTTCTGTGTTGGACGCTCCCCGTTTTAGTCACAAGCTCATCCACTCAATCTCATCAAGGCCTGACTTCAAGGAGGTGGACTCCCTGACGTCACAAGTCATCTCATAACTGTGTAGTCGTTTCATGGTTTTCACCAGCCTGTCTTCACAATAAACCAGAGCTAAATCATTCTCCCTCCTGCAGGTTGGCGCCGCTCCCTCCAGAGCAGGGCCTTTTTGTCTGAGTCACTGAACTCTGTAAATACGCTCATGCCCACTGACTGCGAGTCGACACACAGCTGACCCTCCGGGCGGCTTTCAGGGCTGTCAAGTGCACAGGAAGGAGTTGTTCATCTTCCTCCGAGGAGCAGCTGGTGGATTTGAACAGCCTGCCCTTGGGTTTGCAGTGCACCTCCTTACTGCTAGGCTATTAGAGTTCCTTTCAGTGAATTCTAGGTAGACGGAAAAATTGTGTAAGTTATTGGCTGTGGTGATGTTCGACTTGAGGGGTTTGTAGCTTTGAGACCTTGGACTGCTGCCCTGAAGCACAGATTCAGGAATGCAGTGCAGGGTCGTTGCTGTGTGTTGAACTTGACTCAGGTTGTGGGTTTCGCTTTGGAGCCCTTGGTGGTGGCACCGCTGTAGCCTTTCCTCTGGAGAGACGCTCAGGAGGCACTGCTGGGAGAATCACATGGGGATTAGAGCTGCTGTGCCTGTGATCAAGGTTAAGGCCACGCACACCGTGTAGCAGATGGTCTGATTGCGAAGTACAGTGGGCAGTAGGAGCTAACACAAAACCCACCCGCACTGCAGCGCGGTGGTTGTGTCTCCAATGCCCCTCTGGTAGGTTCAGTAGGGGCCCACTGCCTCATCTCCTCTCCCGTCAAACTTCTGGTGGGTTCACCCCACTGAACTGTGGGCTGATAGCCCAGGGTGCAACCACTGTGTCACCACAGCTCCTTGGTGTGAGAGAAGACTCGTAAAAGAGTTGCTGAGAAGCTGTGTATCTTATTTTCAAAGCATTGGGTAGGTGTTGTATGAAAGGAGAGAAGGTTAGCACTCCCCTTGACAAGGATAGAAGGGGCCCTCGTGCCTTACAACACGCATACGGTTAAGGCATTGCCACTTACTTCCTGGCATCTAACCAAAGCATTGGGTAGTTACTAAAATTTTTCTGCTTGGTAAATGAAGCTTGGCTCTCAGAAGAAATCTTCTGGTCCTGAAGGAGGGACCAATGCTAACACTGCCCTGAGGACATTCAGCTACTAACCAAAAGTTTGGTGGTTCAAATTCAGCAGCCACTCCACAGGAGAAAAATGAAGGAATCTGTTTCCATAAAGATTTATAGCTTGGCAGCCCTCAGGGGGGACAGTTCTTGCTCTGTCCTGAAGGCTTGGCCTGAGCTGGAATCAACTGTGCGTCATTGGGTTTGGTTTGAGGCCTGTAGAAGGGCTTGAATGGTGGAGACAATGGACACACTTTCGTGTCTGGGAGGGATGAGGAGTGTGAAGATGACTGCAGTATTGTGTAGAGAGAAAAGGAGAACTTCAACAAGGACAGAGGTGTCCCCCCTCTCTGCTGACAGTTGTGGGCACCATCCTGTGCCTTATAGGGTGACTTGCTTCATCGTTGGCCTCCATGAGCTAGATGCCCATCGCACCCCGACATTGCCGGGTGTCCTCTGAAGAAGGCAGGGGTACCAGACTAGAAAGACAGTGGTGGTCTTGTCGTCCTCAGCTGTGTGTTCACTCTGTGGAGCAGAAACCCACCATGCTTGAGTCACCAGCCTGGGTGGTGGCTGTGCAAAGGGCAGACGACCCCAGCTCCTCAAAGACAAGACCGGGGAAGCTTTGTTGTCAGCAGTTTTTCCTTGTACATTCAGAAGCACAGATTTCTTGATAGTGAAAAATACATAATACAACTGAAAAGGAAAAGAAATATCCTTTCCTCCGCTTCTGGCCACACGCCCTGAAAAATCAGAACAAACCCGGCAACAGTTTGCATGTCCCGTGTCCTTGTGAGCATGGTAGACGCCTTCCGTGAGGCGCTCGAAGCCTGGAGCCCTTTGCTGTGTTTTGGAATGACTGTATCTTGAATCTTTTCAGAATGACGCCCTGGAGCTGTGCAACAGGATAAGCGATGCCATTGACCAAGTGGACCACATGTTCACGTCAGAGTTCGACGCGGAAGTGGACGAGTCCGAGTCGGTCACACTGCAGCAGTACCACCGGGAAGCCATGATTCAGGGGTACAACTTCGGGTTCGAGGTAGGTACAGAAGAGGCGGAAAAACACAGTGCAGTTCAGCAACGGCTTGGACATACTTTCTCCCTTGTATGTTGTTGTTATTGATTGCCTTTGAGTCAAGCACAGCTCATAGCTACCCTATGAACAGAAAGCTCGAAGCCCTTCTACAAACAACTATCGACATTTATCAGTTCATAGAGTTTCCGGAGGCGTGGTGTTTAGGAAGTGCCATATTGTTAATTATAGTCACAGATGTTATAAAAACTAAGGAGTAAAGCCTTTATGAACTGGCATTTTGATACTATATTAACTCTCCTGTACTTTGAGAATGTTTAACTATGAATTGAATTTTTATTGTCATACATGACACTTAATAAAGGCAGGCCTTTTAGCATGTAAGTGTGTTTCTAACCGCTGTTTTCCTCTTACCTTTATTTCTACCCATGAAACCTTGCAGTATCATAAGGAAGTTGTTCGTTTGATGTCCGGAGAGTTCAGGCAGAAGATCGGAGACAAGTACATCAGCTTCGCCCGGAAGTGGATGAACTACGTGCTGACCAAGTGTGAGAGCGGACGAGGCACGCGGCCCAGGTAACAACCAGCCCGCGCCTGTGGGCAGCCTTTGTCAGCAGGTTACACAGAAGGACTTGGAACTCTCTGATGGCCAACTGTTTTAAAATGAAAATAATTCCAAAGAGAATCCCGTCAGTCTTGGAAATATTCCCTTACTTTTCACTTGTTTCCAGCACGGTTATTGCTCTTGGAATGTGTATTTTCTTGGACAAGATGTTCCAGGTTCCGATCTGTTCTCCTCCTCGGTGCCATTTCTTTCTGTTCTGGAGCGTCCACAGAAGCCAGACAGGCCACCAGCTCGTTGTTCACAGGGTGATTTGTTCTTTCTCGAAGGATCACACCATGAGCTCTTGTATCAAGACAGAGATGCATTTTGTGTATTGAGTTTGAAGCTGGGTTACTCTTGTAAGAAGCGTGTAATCTACGGCGCGACCCTTTTATCTTGGTGGTTTTGTGATTATTGAATGTCTTCCTGTCTCAGGTGGGCCACGCAAGGATTCGATTTTCTACAAGCCATCGAACCTGCCTTTATTTCATCTTTACCAGAAGATGACTTCCTGGTACGGCATTTTCTGCATGTGTTTTCGGGAGCGTTTCTGGATCCTGCGTCCCCTTTTCACTTATGCTTCATCATGGTTTTGAAGTCCTTTTATCGTGTAATTATAACGATGTGGCTGAGAAGGTCACGCATTCCTTTCTTAGCGATACTGTTCAGCCGACTTCATGAGCAGACAGTGGGACCCTTGGCTCTCACAAAATACTTGTTAGGTGTTTTTAAAGCTACCGACTTGGATACTGTGTGTCGGCAGTTAAACTGAGGAACAGGGATTAGCTAGTTCCCTTCAGAATGAGTCATTAAAGAGCGTAATGCCAATTGTTAAATGTCCCCACTGTTATTCCTGTGAATTCCGTCAGATCATTAAAATGTCCAAAACGCAATTCTTCCATTTTGCCCTTTGAACAGTGGCTTAGGGGAACAATCCCTTCCTTGTGTACCCGCCACACGGGGGGAGTGGAAAGCCAATTCATTTTCATTTATAAAAACGGAATTGCTTTCTGTGTTGTTGTAAGTTGTCTAGAAATGTATGCCTGTTTTGTGTTTACACTCTGTTTTCTTTTAAACTAGCTTTGGAAATATTGACTGAGGATAATGTGCTTATTGTAAATGCACCAGGAACCTAACCTGTGTACTTACCTAATGAAAGGTGTTGTACTCTTTCTTCCCTGCTCTCCTTTGGCTCCAGAGTTTACAAGCCTTGATGAATGAATGTATCGGCCATGTCATAGGGAAGCCACACAGTCCTGTCACAGGTTTGTACCTTGGTAAGACCGCTCTTCCTAGTGTTTGAGTGACCACAGCGTCTCGTCGTTTTCATCGTTTAAAGCAATGTAAGAGGTTCTTTAAGAATCTTCAGGAAGATGGCAGTGAGCGGGGCCAGAAGGAGGGATGTGGAACTGGGTCCTCTAAACTCAATAGAATTTAGATGAAAATGCCAACAGAGGGTGTCCCATGGGAGCCGACAGCAAGAAGGTGCAAACTTGATTTCTTTCTTGTGCTCCAGGGCTAACATTCTGTTGTCTCTAAAATCCTTTCTTACAGGGATAATCTGTATGCGGACTCTATAATCGAATCTGTAATCTATGTGAGTCGCAGGCGACTTGATGGCACATATCAACAACACTTGGGGTAATAGAGTGAGGGATCTTGGAAGACAGTTGTCCAGGTGCCGTAGCCTCCTGCTTGCCGACAGTTCTTTGGCATCTCTTGTTCTGACATCCTTATTCGTTGTCCAACTTTCCAAAGCCACATGAAGCAATTGAAAAGACCATGACTTGGAATAGGTGCTCTTTAGTCTTCAAACTAATACAGAAATTGTATAAACTAATAAGAAGCATACCCATTATTAATCCAGTTTTATTAATAAAGCAGACAGCCCGTTCCCAAATAGTATTGAAACTGTAGGCATAGAGGTTAGGATTTACAATGCTTACTCTGTCTTAGCAATCTGCGTTATGCAGATGACACAACCCTGCTCGCTGAAACTGAGGAGGACCTCATGCACTTACTGCAGAGGGTCAAGGACTGCAGCCTT